CGAGCTAGAGCGTTGGGGTGGGTGTGTGTGTGTGTGTGTGTGTGTGTGTGTGTGTGTGTGTGTGTGTGTGAGAGAGAGAGAGAGAGAGAGAGAGAGAGAGAGAGAGAGAGAGAATTCATCAACAGCCTGGAGGGGAGCCTGAGTTTCTACTTCAATGTTCAAATAATAAACAGCATTTTAAACTATCATTCAATGAAGAACCCGTTCTCATGAAAGTGACCCACACTTCCAACCAGGAAGGGGTTGGCTTGGTATAACCATAAGGGAAAAACCTGAGCTGAAAACAGCAAGCTTCTTGGCCCACCTACCTCCTTTTTGATCATCAGCGTTTTCCAACAAGAGAGCTGTCATGCATTCCCAGCCTTTCAGTAAACTCACTGCCCAATCCCACAGGCTGTCCACAAGGTATGTGACATGGCTGTGTAGCTAAACAAAACAAAACAAAACTCAAATCTTCACAGGGAGAATCTACTTAGCATGAGCAATCACCAGGATCCAAGGAAGCAGTAAGGACACAAGGAGAGGAGTAGTAGAATACATAAGCAACATCCAGCAGCCTTGCTTAAAGTTGCCACTGCAGCAATTTCCCGCAAACAAGACAAACTGTTTTTTAAACCAAGTGGCAGCTGATCTCTTTAGTAGCAGAACCAAATCCAGCACCAATACGTATCAAGCAAACATCGACCTCTAGACGAAGTTCTGCCCCATAGGCCGGTATTGTTTCTCTTGACTGGACCCTAGGAGACTAGATTTTTTGCCAGTGATAACAGGCTGTACCAGTAAAAGGGACCCTATGGTCAAACTGAACATCATTTCCAATTAAGGCCATATATGTGTTGCATACAATATCACTTTTTAGCTCAATGAACATCCTCCCATTAACCCATCATTTCTTATGAGAAAGAGTGGCCAGAGTCCTATTGGAAACACAGAACATAAATGGAGAAAAGATCAAGGGAAACCATTTTGCTTTCTGCTCATTGTGCTCCCCCATGTCCTCTGTTCAGGACAATATCTGCATGCCTACTGGCACGATGGACAGAAAGCCAAAACAGAAGAACTACTGCACAACTGTCTTTATGCAAGAGGTTTTGGCCAACAAGTTTAAAAGGCAAATGCCTATGAATAACCTCTTCTTAATTCTGCTGCAAAACTGGTCAGAAACTTCAAACTCCAGGTTTTCTCACAATGAGACTGGCCAGGATTTTCACTTTATACTGATTAAACTGTATTCCTCAATTCTGCCAAGAATCACCCTGGACAAGATTTTGCAAGACCTTGTTTTTTAAGCAATGATTGGGGAGGAGGTAGATCTAGAGTTACTGGTGATTTGGAGAAGGTGAGCAAAACTCAACTTATTAACAGTAACAGCAAAAGAATTATCACCTTCCCAGTCATAAACGATATTGCTGAAACAAAACAAAAAATGGAACATCCAGGAATAAGAGTGTGTGCATTTGTGTATGCATATATGTGTAAGGATTCTGTTCAAAATAGATTTCTGCATGTGCATACCAGTCAGTGAATACTAGAACTATAGTAAAAAGAGAGATTGAGAGAGAAACCTCCAAGTTAGAAGCCATGCTGTGCTTCAGATAGGTTTCACAAAATACATGTACTCTTGTGCATTTTATTCTCCAAATTTTTTAGTATTTCTTGGCATACTTGAAATAACTCATTATACTTTGAAATTTTACCTTCTGGTATACCTTGCTTAGCTGGCTGGAAAGATCAGTGAATTTGAAGACACTGGAAGTTCAATTCCCTACAGTGCCTGTCAGGAGTAGAACCAGCCTGCACAGAAGGCAATCTGGAACTGCGCAGGCTTATTTTACTCCTGGGAGGCACAGTGAGGAACGGAACTTCCAGGTCTCCTAATTCACTGATCTTTCCAGCCAGCTAAGCAAGGTATACCAGAAGCCTATCTGAAGGGGATGGTAAACCATATTTGAGTACTGTACTTACTACCTAAAAAACCCTGGAAAGGGTTACCATGTCAGAATTGATGTCACATCATCGTCATCATTCCTTGCTCCTCACAACTTCTTTTTCTTGGGACCATCTTGCTTTTCTCTTCCCACCATATACCCTGCCACAGAAAACCTCACATTCGCTCTTTAATTTTATTCCTTAGTTCAAAAAAATAATCAACAGATCTTTGAAACTTGTTATGAATATGACAAACCCATCTTCAGCAGTCTGTTTATCTATCACAACTTGGATTCTTTTTACCTCACTTTCCATATAGAAAATGATCAGTGTTCTCAGCTGGCTAGCAATCGGTTCCTGTTTTCCATCTCTTCTAGTGCAAACATCCATCCCAGTTTCCTGGACAATTAACCTAACAACAGAAAAAGCAATCAAGTCAGGTTCTGCTCCCTAAATTTTGATTTGTAGCAAGAAACAGCCATGTCTCAGTAGGGTATTACAGATTATCACAGAACATTCCTATACATATGAGATGCAAGTTCTACTGGACTCAATGGAACCTACTCCCAGGTAGGTGAATACAAGATTGCAGCTAAAAACATCTATTATAAAATCAGCACTGAGCTAAGACTCAGAAAACCTGGGTTCAACTTCCCCATCAGCCACAGACACTCACTGTGGGGTAGAACTGGTAACAATCCTTAAATAGCCCCCTTATCTTGGAAGTCCCCTTAGAGCTGCTATTACATTAATTCCAATTTGACAGCACATTACAGTTCCAGAGTGTCCCAGAAGAAGGGGATGGTAAACTATTTCTGAGCGTCCTCTGCCTGGAAAACCCTAAAAAGGGTTGCCATAAGTGAGAATTGACTTGACGGCACACAAGTCATATGTGCGTAGAAGTTTGGAATGCATGGTAAGAGGCAACTTCTATAGCAGCTCCCTCACTTCTGTGAGAGCTTTCACAAGAGATTCCACAAGGAGAAGAAAATCATTTGGTATTATGTTTTTTATATAATGCTATGGCATGATATATATGACCAAGCCACTCCATCAGTAAAAAGCATCTTTCACATGCAGAAGGGCACTGCTGGATTCAACCCAACTTAAGTATAGTGTGTGTACAGTGGTGCCTCGCATTACGACGTTAATTTGTTCCAGCGAAATCGCTGTAGAACGAAAACGTCGTAATGCAAAATTAAAAAGCCCATAGAAACACATTAAAACCCGCTTAATGCGTTCCTATGGGCTGGAAACTCACCGTCCAGCGAGGATCCTCCATAGAAGATCCTCCATCGCTTTTGCAATCGCAAATACTTCGTCGTAATGATATTTCGACGTTAAACGGGGCGCTTGTCTTGCAAGGCACCACTGTATATTATTCCCTCCGTTTCCAACTTCATAGGGTGAATACCAGCGCTTATGCAGCAAAATACTTATGACGTCAAAATGGCACTAACTGTACACAAGAAGTAATTACCAGCAGAACCTCAATATTTACAGAAACAACACACACACAATCTCAGTGCAATCTGGTAAAACAAAGAGGAAGCCTTTGCAATCAAAGATAAAGCCACCGTACATGGGTATAGCACATTTTGATACATCCAGATCCACTGCCATTTATAGTGGATGTGAAGACAAGTCCTAATGTTGTGTAGCCAACAAAGCACCATATAAAAATATCCAAATGATGGTACCTTTTATAAAGTAGTTCCCCAGCTGCAACAGCCAATGGTCGGTGGGTGGTGTAAACAAACTGGTATAAGGTTTCACAGTCTTCAGATGATAGGGCATCTTCACAGTTCCTGTACGGAGATATTGCATTAACTATGATTTGTTCAACAGAAGATTGCTACATATTATCAGCAGTATAATCCCATGCATATTTATACTCAGAAATAAATTCCACAGTGCTGAATGGCGCTTACTCCCAGCTGTCATTTGGTTGGCTATTCAGAACATCAACTAAGTAAAAGTAAAAATATATCCTTGCCACACACCATAATGAATATTGTTTGCCACCATCAGACCAACAGATGTTCTATTCAAGCATTCACCTGAAACCCGGAAGGCTAGAACTATGTAAGAGACAAGAGGGTACATGAAAGACCTTCCACTATTAACTCTGGGCACATAGCATTCGCACAGAATTCTTGAAAGGGAGTTTTCTGTGAATTCAGCACTTAAGAGGTTCTCTCAACTACTCAAAAGCAAAAGCAATTTTTGGCAAATTCATAGCACTTGTCTCTAAATAAAAACATATCCTCCTGTCCGCAGAAATACAGATGTGGAGGAGGGGAGATCAAGAATGTGATTCCAGTCAGAGGCTCCACCACATAATTTTTTTTTATTTTTGTCATCCTCTTCTGAAATACTTTATATTTAAATTTAGAAATGAGTATTCAGAACGAAGACTTAAGCATTTGGTAAGGAAAACATGATGACACCTGTTATGCTCTTTGCATGTTAGAAGGCAGCTCCTTTGCCATAAACATTGCATCAATGTTCGCAAATGTCCATCTATCAAAGCCAGTACTTAGCACTTCATCCCTTGGCAGCTAATTAGCTTACATAATTAGCATTTTCCTAACAACTAGGTAATTGGCCGTAGTCTTCCTGATGACAGAAAATGTTCTTGAAAACCATACTATAAATATAGACTGATATCTCCCCTCATTGGAAACAATGCAGGAATGAAGGAATGGAAGCCCAGTGGAATCAAAGAACACACAACTGCTGATTGTTTATTCCGAGAGACAAGGCAGCCTCAGAAAATCTAGGAGCTGATCATTACCACACTCCTCATCCTTTGCACAAACCTCTTTGGCTTTTGTTTTGTTTTGTTCTGAAGTAAGTTTCATCTCCACTTAGCTGCTCTTAGTAAAACATTTTAGTAAAATGTTTTAAACAATTTCAAATAAAAAAACACAAAATTAAAATATGCGGACATTAAAAACATTAATTACATTCGGTATACTCATGCATATTTCTCTTCAGATACATTTTAGTATGGAGTTGTGTCAAACCTGTAAGTTTTTATATTTTCTCTCCTAAAACACTCAATGTTTTTCCAGGTCATTTTTATTAATACATACACTGTTTTCTGCACTTTTCTCCAACAGAATGAATTGGGGGGGGGGGGGTTTAACTGCATTACAACATTTGGAAAATGGTCTCTTAAGGACAACCCGGTCGCAAAAGAGCAAATCAGATAATTTTGCATTAAAATATGAACTGAATGAATCTGTCCCCAAGTTGTAGAGTGTATCTCTGAAATTCAATATTCTTACATAAATGCAATTTACTGTTGTCAAAGCAATATACATACAAAAGTAATATGTGGCTCCAAAAAAAGTGATATCAAAAAATAGGAACAATTCATCATAGCTGTCTATTAACTAAGGCTGGTATCCAATCTTGATAATTAAATGACATTTTTATTATTCATACATTTTATATACTGGTTAAACCAATATGATATACAGTTGAACTAATTTACATTTTAGAACATCTTATTGTCTGAAGACATGCTGCTGTATTGGTGCTGTCAAGTTGCCTCCAACTTATGGTGATCCTATGGATGATTGATTTTCAGAATGTCTTGTCTTCAACAACCCTACTCGGCTCTTGCAAACTCAAGGCTGTGATTTCCTTGATGGAGTCAATCCATATCACATTGGTTCTTCCTCTTTTCCTGCTGTCTTCAACTTTTCCAAGGATTATTGTCTTTTCTAGTGAATTTTGCCTTCTCATGATGTGTCCAAAATATGAATACCTCAGTTTCATCATTTCTGCCTCCAGAGCACGTTTAGGCTTGATTTGATCCAGGAAACACTTGTCTGTCCTTCTGGCAAGGTTATGACTTACATCCACACAGACATGTCTACCTACTTAGCTGTAAAATTAATAAAAATACTTCAGTTCCATACAAAATTGTGCAAACAGTCAAATTATAGTAAGCTTATCATAACACGTGCAAATATAATTTAATATATTTAAATTAGTCTGTCATATAAAATGCATGGAATTTTCTGCAGCATGTGTTATGCAATAATGAAGTTTTTCACAAGAAAAAAAAACATGCTATTTGCCAAAAGATGTTATCTAATAGTTTGCCTTACATTTTCAAAAATAATCATCTCCATCAGAATCACCATTTGGGGGCAGGGGAGAGAAGTAAATGGTAAGGTTGAGCAGTAGCTCATTGATGGACACATAGGTGTCTAAATAACTCAATACGCACCAAAAAGTTACAGAAACAATGGGGGCAGGTTAGCTGATCCTCGGCTTCTTGGGCTGTCAAGTTACAGCCTGTCTTTTCACTGCTCCCTTCCTTTGTGCATCCTTTGTCTTTCAAATTCTTTAGCCCCTTGTTTGACAGTGTTTTGCCAGGCATTTTAGTTCTGAGCGAGAGCTTCCCAATTGACATGATCAATATTAAAATATTTTCAGCGTTTACTTCAGTGTATCCTTGATTCATTTTCTTTTGCCCCCCTTTGCAAATTGAGCAGCTGCAACAAGCTTTCCGTAGATGATAAGTTTTGGGAGAATCTAGCTGACAGCATAACAACATGACCAGTTCACTGAAGGCGTCATTGTTCCAAGATTGTAAAAATGCTGGTCGTTTGTATTTGACTTCAAGACTTCAATGTCAGAGACTCTGTCCTGCAATTTGATGTTGAGAATTCTCTGAAGGCAGGTCAGATTAAAATGACTGAACGTTCTTGCATGGCACTGACAGATAGGTCAACTTCTCCACTCCACAGAGTAGATGGGATACAACAACAACTTTGTACTTCTTCAGTTTAACAAGAAGATCGGTTCCTTCTCAATTCCACACAGAGGGAAATGCCTTCCAAAGGCAGTGCTGGCTTTAGAGAGTAATGATGTAACTTCGTCATCAACACAAATGCAGCAGGAGATAGTACTGCCAAGATACTTGAGCTTATCCAAGGCACTAAAGGAGTGTTTGTATGCTTTCAGAACAGGTTCCTCATAAGGTACACCTGGAGTAGGTTGGTACATCACCACTGTCTTATCAGTACTGATCTTAGGCATTATACAAGGCATGATGTGAGTAAAAGGTTCTGAAATACTAAAACATTTAGGTTCATTTAACATCATGTTTTCTTTGCCTTCGGACAGACAGCCCACATGCTTGCCTTCCCTGCTTTTGGAAAACCCAGCAGTGGAAATAATGTATTTTTTTTCTTGAACCCAGACCTAAGCATGCATGCCTTATTTTTAAAATGATTTGTACTTCTGGATATGAGGCCTTGTTCTCCCTCAAAACAAAGTGCAACCACCACACCTTATTGTAAGCAAAAGTGACTTTTTTTGTTTCTGTTATGTGGAAATGGACTTCTAGTGACTTCCATAGAGGAGATGAGGTCCATGGCAGGTTCCAGGAGGTGAAACTGGCCCACTGTTTTGCATAACAGAGACAAGCATACAACTTTATTTGTTCTTATGCAACCATCCCTTCATCCCTTAGCTGCTCCATAGACACCCAAAGCACCTCAGAGAGATATGAAAGGTGTTTTTCAGCCCTGCCTCAGGCACAGAAATCCATAGATCATAATAATCTCAGCAACATGAATATGCATGAACTATTACATAATATAACATGAACCATAGATCTAATAAATGGGGAACACTACAACTAGTCTTTCCAACTTTTCATGTATCTTTGCTATAAAGCAGAGGATTTATTTATTTTAAATATTTTTATCTCGCCTTTCTCCTTAAAAGGTCCCAAGGCTACTTACAACATTAAAATGATTTTAAAAGCAAGTATAAAGGGGAAGGATTTAGCATTAATCTTTTCCTCTACTACTCTAAGTCTGTTGTAAAAAAACAGGATTAGAAACACTTTCTAAAAATGTGAAAGAGATTTAATGAATCTTGTATACAAAGCAACATTGAGTCAATCTCTATAAAGAAAGCAAAATGCACCCATGTTTGGCTCTTAATCATACCCCCAATTTCCAAGGTCAAAGAAGCTATTCATAGTTAAAAGAAATCAATGTGATATATGAAACACTATAGTCTAGAAGAGTGGAGATTTCTGCTTTTGGACTGCAACTCCCAGAATTCAGTTACAACAAAGTATGCAGTGCTCAATGTTGTTACAGCTTGTCAACAAAATTCAGACACAGGGAAAGCTAGCAAGTATTTACCCTCTCATTAAAGCTCATCATGTCCTTTTCATCTGTCATGCAATAACTGCCCTTAAAAGAATCATAGAAAGAACCTCAAGATCCTAACCAAAAATACTGTCCACAGGGCACAAAGACACAGAAGGCAGGAAAGAGCCCCCTCCTTACCCTACTGACATAATCTACCTGTCAGACTAACTTTTTTAATTAAATGTTTTGTTTTACAGAGTGGGACGGAACATCTCTGTACATCTGTTTGTTCTCTTTTTTCCTTCACACACAATTAATTGCCAGTCGTTGCCTAGATATTACAATACAAAGACCAAGTAAACAGTACCATAAAGAAAGAAATAAACATTAGCCAACGAAGTTTGCTCCTTGTAAATGTTAATGCTTTATGTTACTATAGTTCTCAAATGTGGTCTTATTTTAACTCAAAAATAGTTGCTTCCTTTATACGCCATGAGCCAGCAATTACACATTCAGGGAATACTTAATGGGGGAAATACTTCTGCTGAAAATACACAGGATGCCAAGTGCCAGATAAAGATTGAGGCCAGTGTTCAAGCATCTAAAAATAACCCTGGCCTTTGCACATCCAATCCATGTTATAACAATTCCCCCCCCCCCATTTCACTGTGACCAAGCTTGTACAAAACATGTGGCAGAAAAAAAGGAGGACAAAGCTCCCCAGGAGGGCTTAGATTTTTTTTTGTTATATACACTGGGCAGCAGTATTTTGAAGAGATATCATTTGTTTCCTGGAGATGATCTGGCAAGGCAGCAACAAGAATGCATTCTGAAATCCTAGAATGATGCTTCAGCTTGTCCTTGATTTTTTTAAGCAAATACACACTATGTATATATCTATGCAATACTTTTTGAAACCATCTATTCTAACTTCACTATTTCTTAACAATTTCCTGTGCAAATTAATTCTGTAAGTTAATTGTATGCTATAGCAAGGAGTGCTTCCTACAGGCCAAATTTAAGTGTGTGCAGGGGGGGGGGATTCATGTAGATAACGCTAGCTGTACCTAGTCTATTCGGAAAATCTGGGGAATGGAATGGGGAGGGTACCTAGATCTACTTCCTTCTAACACAAAAATACATGTCAGTTTCCAAAACAGCTGAATCCTGAACTGTTGTCTGAAACAACTCCTTATGCCCACGAGTCTTTAAACATCACAAGAGAGAACTGAATTGTCTTAATTCATGTTTTATTAAGTTTTTAAAAAATACAGTATGGGTTGGTTTGTTCTAGTTTCAAGGGGAAAGTACAAATGTAGGCTCAGTATCAGGAGATCAAGGCATTCATTCACCTTTTTAAAAGCTGTACTATACAGAGCGTTACAGTAATTAAGCTGAATAGTATAAACATTTTCCTACTTCAGAGAACATGTGCTAGAATATCACTATTGCAGGTTTTACAGTAATGTTGTACAGAAGTGTATTCCTAGGCAACACTGACATGGCAGGTTTTCCACAGTCCTATATTCACTCCTGGCTAGATTTTCTCATTTTTATGATCTACAACTCACTCCTCCTTTGGTTATTTGTAGAATAAGCCCACACACTTCGAGTATTTCCCCTTCGTGTCATCTCTTGCAGTCTTCGGATTATTAAAGAGTGGCTTGTTTTTCTGAACTCATTAAAATTGAGTTCTGTATTTCCAGTGCTCATGACTTAACAAAATACAACAAAATCATGATTGTTGACTCCTAGGCTAACAGGAGAATATCATCTCTCTTCATAACAAAAAGCTATTGTGTCACTATTTCGTGCCACCTGCCTTCTCGGAAAAACTGAGCTACATGCAGTGAAATAAAATTCATGAATGATCAATGGTTAACACAGAGAGAGAGAGAGAGGGAACAAGCTGCACAGAGGTAGAATGGAGAAAGATTTGACAGAAATTAGCCATGACGACTGGGGCTGGATCATAACCAGGCTATAGATATAAGATCTGTGATGAAAAGGGTAAGCTAGTTGAATTAACCAAACATTTTAGAGCTTTTCTATGGCTAAAAACATCCTGTACGTAACTAGTGCAGAATGTGAGACAGCTGAGCATTTGTATTCAAATATCTGATTCATAGTGAGAGAGTGTCATGGACTCACTGGGCTATAATAAACAATGTCACCTGGATTCAGATCACTCTCCTGCTTTGTGAAAGCATGCAGAATGTTGGTTCTATGCAATCACGGAAATAAAAGCTTGGCAGTTTGATAGAGATTTGCTAGACATTTGGTTTGGGACTGAAAAATCTCATTCTTTGTATGGACCGTTAGGCTAGTTAATGATTAGCTTGGGAAAAAGCCATGGTTTAAACACTATCTTTCCCCCACTCCCCCAATTATCAGACAGCATGTACAAGGCTCTGAGTTTGAAAAGCCAGCAATGCAAAAGATAGAAGGACTAACAAAGACAACAAGAAGACACTTCCTCGATCATACTATGATTTTGAACAAAAAAAAAAAGGATTTTAAACAGGAATATTGATAAAATGCTTCAGGCTTGAGGTTTTGCAGAAAAAATGTTTTGGACAGTGTGCATAGCTTTAGGCTGCAATCCTGTATAGGGTTACATGGGAGTAAGTTGCCTTTACGAGAATAGGCTTTTCTCCTAAGTAGGACAAGGCTGGTGGTTGTAGGTTTTTCGGGCTGTTTGGCTGTGTTCTTGAGGTTTTTATTCCTAACGCTTCTCCAGTCTCTTCAGAGGACAGGAGTCAGAACTATGTGCTCTGGTGCAGTTTGTGGGATAGCTGAGTATTTACAGCTGTGGGATCAGCTCTTGGGCCTTATCAGGAAAGTATTTACAGCTGTGGGATCAGCTTTTTGGCCTTATCAGGAGACCGGGTGATCATGGTGATCAGCCTGTTTTTTGTCGTGGGTGTATTGTTGTGATAAGGGGGGAGAGATGATCTGTCACTGTGATTGATGGATGTCATTAGCTCAGACCTGGGCAAAATATGGCCCTCCAGATGTTGCTGAACTGCAACTCCCAGCAATCCTAGCCCACACAGCCAATGATGAGGAGTGTTGGTATTTGCAGTCCAGCAACATCTGGAGGGCTGCACTGCCCAGGTCTGCATTATCCGGTCTTTTGTGTGCAGTGATCACTGGTCCTTGTGGCTGGGTAGAGTTGGTTGACCTTTTGCAGGCCGTGTTTTTCAGGGCTGGGAGCTAGGTTTTGAGTTTTAGACATTCCAGACAGCCCGAAAAACCTACAACAACCATCAGATCCCTGCCGTGAAAACCTTCAAGAATACATAGGACTAGGCTGTTCTTTTTATGTACGTTTTTGATGTAAATTCCGCCTTCTCAGTAATCACGCCACACTATCATTCACATTGTGCACTAACAACAGCAAAGTCAGCGGCAATGGTCAACAGCTGCAGTGCCAATGCAATATTTGTCAGTTCAGATGTAGAACAAGAGTAACATTTCATGGTTTAGGACACCATTGTATCCTCACAAAGGCACACTGCCCCTCCTAGCACAGGATCAGCACGGACAAAGAACACTGCACTTTGTTCTACTGCCTAAGCACCAGGAAGAAGCAAACACCATGCAGAGATGACACTGTGTTTGCCTCCCAGGGGAATCACATGAACAATTAACCCTCTTTCCTCCTTTTCACATGGCTAAGGAAAAGAAAATCATGGTATAGAACCACTGTGAACATTCAGTAGATAACCAATGCGGTCGGCATTTGTTCATTGTTGGGATCCACTCACGAGTGGAAAGTTCAAGTTTACTCCAGCCTAAAATGGAAGCAGGGCCAAACATAACAAGAACCAGACTGTGCAAGCTTCTGTTTTAAAAAGGCAGAACCAGTGGGCAGAACCACTCGAAACATTATCGTTCTGGACCACAACTCCTAAAACCTGACAGTCATTATAGTCAGAGGCTGGGGGCATTCAGAGAATTAAAGCCCAGCAAAGTAAACAATACAAGCCAGCCTCTGGTTAAGAGAATGCAACCAACTCAGCTGACCATATCCTTGAGAGAATTTATCTACCAAAAGAAGCAGCTCAAGTATTTCCTCATTCCACCCTTCAGTAGAGCAATTACAAGATCTGAAACATAATTTAACAAATGCTCAGGATGCCTGGGTGGATACAGCCACGGACAGAAATGGCAAGCTGCCATATCATCAGTTGCAGATGACATTTTTTACTCTATAAATTAGAGCAGGGCTGGGCAAAGGGCCATTTTTTGGCACCAAAAGCCTCGATTTTTTACTCTATAAATTAGAGCAGGGCTAGGCAAAGGGCCATTATTTATTTATTTGTTTGTTTGTTTGTTTGTTTGTTTGTTTGATTGATTGATTGATTTTTACCCCGCCCCTCTAGACCATGTCTACTCGGGGCGGCTTACAAAATAAAACAGAACAGTAAATTTTTTGGCACCAGAAGCCCCCCCCAAGAAGGCTGCATAGGAACCCTAGATATTTAACTACCACAACACAAATCTGAAATACAACCAGTTGTTTACATTTGGGGGAGACTATAGGTAAGGGTACCTGTTTCTAGAGGAGAAAAAGACCCCTTTTTAACTGTAAAGAAATGGTAGTAAACTGGTGGGGGAGGAGCTAAGAGAGAGGCCTCAGGGCTACGAAAACAGGTCTTAATCAGATAAAAAGGTGTGTCTTGACTCACTGGACTTTTAATTATATGTAAAAATAAATAGAAATGGTAGTAAACTGGTGGGGGAGGAGCTAAGAGAGAGGCCTCAGGGCTACAAAAACAGGTCACGTGATTCTCATGTTATTAAGAACATTCCCACCAATAGAGGGGAAAAAGATGGGGATGGAATCAACAGTTTGGTTCAGTCTAACATCTGGCTGAAATTAGCAAGCATTTGAATGCAAAGGTGGAAACTAACAAGTGACAAAAGCACAATACTTGCATGTTTTTAAGGTCAAACCTTTAAGTAACAACATATAATGCCTTAAACAGTGTTGTCAAAATTAATGCTTTGTAATATGACACAGCACTGCATCAAGCATCACATTCCCAAACAATTGCAGATATGAAGTAAAAACCACGCACTAAGCTGTATATGGTCATGATACAGCATGCTGCTAGTTATTTCTTAATCAGATAAAAAGGTGTGTCTTGCACTCACTGGACGTTTAATTATATGTCAAATAAAAATATATATTTACTGTGACATGAGCATCAAGAGTTTCATAGCTTGAACTGCTACTTCATGTTCTTTGTCCAGAGCCATGGATACAATTCGATCCTAATAGATACAAAGATAATAAGTGAGATTTTAACGTTCGGTCCTGAAAGTTTTTGCTGCACACATTTCTACTTTTGGCTGCGTGTTATAATGCCGTTAATTGCTCTTCTGCCTTGTTAAACTAGATTGAAACATCTAAGCTGAAATGTTCACTGTGGGTGAAAAGAGGTACAAAGAATCTACTGGCAGTTCAAACCTGGGAAGCAAATGAGTATTGTGCTTGTGACACTGAACACATGGCCCAGAGCTATTTCACTTTTTTAAAAAGTCTAAAGGATGATGATGCCTAGGGTGTGCAACAGACTGCTTGCAGTGCCCCCTGCAGTCTTTAACACCAAAATTCTTCAATTTAAAGATGCAACTGAGCTCTCAAATTAGGTACTGTATTCCTAAACACATAGAGGAATCCTTCTATTTATTTTATTTAATAAATAAATAAATAAATAAATAAATAAATAATAATAATAATAATAATAATAATAATAATAATAATAATAATAATAATAATAATAATAATAATAATAATAATAATAATAATAATAATAATTTGTAAACCACCCAGAGAGGGCTTCGAGCACTATGGGCCATCAATCAGCAGCATGCTTTGCTTTGCCTTTAGTCATCCCAGTTTTGAGGCACCGCCGTTATCAGACAGACCTCCAGCAACCGGTACAGGACACACCTTGCGGATGGTCTCCAGGTCCATTGGGTTGACAATAACTTTGTAATAATCTGGCACGAATTTCTTGTTAACAGGATGATGAAAGGGCCAGGACTGCAAAGCAAAAAGAGCACAGAGAAATGATCTAGGCACTGTGACACATGCCCTAGTTACTTCTCAGCTGGATTACTGTAACATGCTCTATGTGGGGCTGCTGATGGAAAGAGTCTAGAAACATTAGTAAGTCCAAAATGCAGCAGCTAGATTGCTGATTGGGGCTGGTTACAGGGATCACATAATCCACTGTTACAGCAGCTCCATTGGCTGCCAGTTCATTTCTGGGCACAATTCAAAGTGTTGGTTTTAACCTATAAAACCCTAAATGGCCTGGTTGCAAGCTACAGTGGTACCTCGGCGTAGGAACTTAATCCGTATTGGAACGGCGTTCGTACGTCGAAAAGTTCATAAGTCGAAGCACCATTTTCCATTGAAATGCATGGGAATGGGATTAATCCATTCCAGCATTTCAAAAAAATACCAAAATTAAAAATAAAAACACAACAAAGCAAGTCCCACACTGGGACTGCAGGAAAAAAACAACACATATCCAAAAACAAAACAACACAGCACAGCACAGAAACACTGATCACGGTGACGGGGGACCCCCAGGAGGTCTCCGATAGTGGCAGGTTCCCCTGCCACCATTGGAGACCTCCAGGAGGTCCCTTTTCCTAACCGTTGGGGCAAAAGAGCAGCCTGTTCACCACCAACAGTTTGAATGGAATGAAAAAAAGGCAGGAGAAATTTGAATTTCCTGCCCTTTTCCTCTGCCTTTTTTCGTTCATAGGTCGAGGCTCCGTTCACAAGTCGATGCAAACGGAGACGTTCGTAGGTCGAAATGTTCGTAAGCAGGGACGCTCGTAAGTCGAGGTACCCCTGTATCTCAAAAACCATATCTCCCATTATGAGAAGGCTTGGGAGTTATGATAATCAGGAGAGGACTTTCTCTTGGTCCCGCAGTCTTCACAGGTACATCTAATGGGGACGCAGGAGAGTATTCTCTGCTGTTGTTCCCAGACTCTAGAACTCCCTCCCTCAGGAGGCCAGACTGGCCCCATCTTTATTTTACTTCCGTAAGCAGGCAAAGAGCTTACGTACAAGTATGTACATAAGATGCTTCTTTACTCATTGTTTTCAACTTTACAGTAAATATTGTCTTTCACTGCTGTAAGCCACCTTGGGTCCTTTTCAAGCTGAAATGCAGGGTAAAAAATATTTTAAATGAATAAATAAAATAAATAATTCATATAAAGATGGCAAAGGTAATATCAACCAAGTTTGAAACAAGCCCTAAATGAGTTGAGGCAAACAACCCTGAGAGAGATCATCAGTTTTTCAAATGCTACACTCCACCTATTTTACAATGGCCAAGACTCACTAATGTGCAACCATACACAAAGGTAAACTTCTGTATTCAGGGGCAATGGAACTGAGAAGGCCTCTCCTACCACAGCCTTTCATGCCATTAAAAATCAGCACCAAAGGATGCCCAAGCCCTCCAGAATAAGTTTTTGGAGTGTATAGGATGCTGCAATGAGAAGGGAAGACAAGTCAACTATGTATGGGATCCTGGCCAATCTCTGATGAAGTCATACCTAAAGAGCAGAACTGAAAAGAGGTCAAATCTTTTTATGTGACAACAAGATCACAATCAGAATAGCCTCTCATAAAGACCACTGCAACTGTTCTGATACTTAACCACTCACCTATTTATTTATTCTCTAGTACTAAACATACGGGGATCAGAGGACAGACATTTTCCATACATTTCGGTGGCATGCTGGACTAAAACAGTCAAACTTTTCAAGCACAGTGGCAAAGACAATCATGGCATGCCTACCCAATGTATCATCATCTTTTTAGCATAAAAAATAAGGAAGGGAATATGGCTCTCAACCTCTTAGTATGTTCAGCTTCTCAGAGGTCAGTTAAGCCTAAAGTACATACTAACTCTGGTTCCCTTTACTCAGAAAGCCGATGGAATTATAGCTTTATGCAGAATCACAGCAATCCCTAACTCTCAGCTCCCTTACCAAACAATCAACAACAAACTAGAGTCCACAGGACTTGGAATCCAGAGTGGCAGTACAGGGTACAACCAAAACTATGGCATACATCTAGCATATCATTCCAGTGATCAAACATAAAACATTTCCCATTGGAACAGATCAACTGACATCCTGCTCTGTAAATTATATCATGTAAGGCAGACGATGTCATCAGCTAAGGCAATTTTTCAGGAATAAAATATTTTTTATCCTTCCTCCCCTGCCCCAAAGTTCCAAGGCTCTTAAATATCCCTTTCATTGGCAGGAAGCTGTTTAGGGGATTGTTGTTGTTGTTTAGTCATTAAGTTGTGTCCGACTCTTTGTGACCCCATGGACCAGAGCACACCAGGCCCTCCTGTCTTCCACTGCCTCTCAGAGTTTGGTCTAATTCATGTGGGTAGCTTCAATGACACTGTCCATCCATCTCATCCTCTGTCATCCCCTTCTCCTCTTGATTCTCTGAATTACTCAAGCCCCTTTGCCACAACAAGGCAGCAATCCATGAAGGGGGGTTATGGGATAGGGGCTTTAATTACTGAATATCAGTAGCAGAAGAATGACTTAATCAGAAATGGCAGTTTTCAGTAATTAAGAATCCCCACCTATCCCACCTACCCTGAAGGCCTTAGGAATGGACCTCAACAGATGGGAAACCTTGACGTCTGAGCTTTCAGCCTGGAGGCAGGCGGTGCATCATGGCCTCTCCCAATTTGAAGAGACACTTGTACAGCAGACCGAGGCAAAGAGTCAGTCCCAAAACCAGCAAAATAAGGGATCTGGACAGCGGACAGATTGTATTTGTCTTCAGTGTGGAAGGGATTGTCACTCTCGAATTGGCCTTCTCAGCCACACAAGGCACTGTTCCAAGACCTCCATACAGAGCACGATACCATAGTCTCTCGAGACTGAAGGATGCCTACACCTATCCCGTCTCCCCAAAAGCTTCCCAACCACAAAAAATTTCCATGGGAGCCTCCAGATCTTCAGAGGGAGGGATATTGGAAACATTTTCTTTCAAAAAAAAATTGCCACGGGTGATGACTTCAGCTTTACGTGGCATACCATAAGGAACAGGATTTCAGCTCTTCAACTGCAAATACAAGTGCCCTGAGAAACAGAATTATGTTCATGAATGGACAAGCCATGGGATATGCACTCATGCACCACAGAAAGGCTAAATTTCTAACTGTTTCCAACTTACCACAGACCTCAAATAGTATTTGAACCGTGTTTGATTTTGAAAATGATCAGCCCCACCCTCGGCCAACCAACATAAATATTCAAACAGGAAATGCTAAGTTTTAGTTTACCTTGAATCTGCTAGTGAAGAGATCCATTTTACAAACAAACTCTTTTTGGCCATAAATTCCCTGTAGGCCCTGAAGGCACTTTAGTCGGACTTCAGGTTGCTGAAAGATAATAAGACACAGAGTAAGAATGACATTCACAGTTGTGGTTATGAGAATACCATTATGCAACTGCCAGAGAAAATACTAATATACTACTATTAACCCCCAGAATACACTAACCCATTCTTCAAGAGCTGTTTTTTTATACAGCCAACGGTGACATGGTATTCATGTTTTTTGCACTCCAATTCCCAGAATTCTCCAGGCAGAATTCTGGGAGTTTCAGGCCACAGTTCCACACCTATAGACACCTACAAGTCATCTTGACCAGGTCAAGTTTACAGGTACATCAGCCAGAAGACATGATTCAGTGGGCATGGAAACGCAGTCACCGTGACCTATGGTGGTATCCTGCTGGCCAGTCTTCAAAATCTGGATGTTTATAACTAGCAAACTCATAAGACTTGGAATCCAACGGACTACTATCCAAATCACTGCCTACTCTCTGGTGGAGAGTTCTTAAAGGCGGTGTTGATCTCCCTCAGAAACTAATTATGCTGGAGGATGTCAATATTTATGCTGACTCCCCTCCAAAGGGGAAGGGAGATATAATGAGATAGGTCCATAGTTACTGTGCAGATCATGGTTTCATGACCTGCATAGTAACTATGGACCTATCTCATTATCTGGGCCTATATGTGTGATGATCACTCATGGAATTGGTCATATTCTGGATCTGTTTTTTTATTGGCCAAAATGAAGAAGATCCTGGGGAGGGGGGGTCAAAAGAGCCCTATTATCACAGGCAGATCATAACCTAAGAGTGTTTAAATTTGCTGCAAGTCTCAAAAACTTGGTCCCTTCACAGACACTGATAGGTTCAGAAGGATTTCTGAAGGCTCTAGAGAAATTTTCAGCTACTAGAACTGGTGATCCTGTGGCCACTCTAGCCAATTTTTTTAAAAAAAGATTCAATAAGTATTTGCTTGTTTTTATTAAACATTTTAAAAATAAAAGCCACAATGATACTTGATATCTATTATATCTCAATCATAAGAAAACAAATAATAAACCAGTGACCCAAGCTCAGTGAAAGAATATTTATACAACAGAATAGATTACAATAATGAGGTCACTAACTGGGATTCTGTAAACAGAGGTTAGTGGGGAGAAGGGAGACAGATCTATTATTTCTCTATCAACTGTCAGGAATCTTAACACAGTCTTAAGGTTTCTAGGATCTAATTTGATTTTGTTTTGTTTTTCACTAGAATCCCAAGATGCACCCTTCACATTGGTGATGGGTGGATGCAGGTATAGAATGGTGGCTTAGAAGGCAGTCAGTTACCTAGCCATGAGCCATAACACTAAGATGACCAGTTCACATTTACACCTAAATTACAGCTAAAAGACTCTAACAGCCAAATTTAAAAGGGAACAACTACCTTTTTGTCATTACTGTTTGACCCAGTGATCTACTGCAATAATTCTGTGAAGTAGCAACAGATCCTAATCAACCTTCTGCCCAGATGTTGTCTAGAATCTTCCACTCTATATACTAGACAATTTTGTTTGTGTCAGTAGACAATTTCATTTCTGTCAATAGACATCTGTAAAACTGCAATCCTAGACAAAACCAAGTAGGAATAAGTCCCACTGGTTTCAACATTTCTTTATAAAAAAAATGTACTGTTAAGTCAACAAAAGATATAGACAATATATTCTATAAGCGTAACATGGAATTCTGAGACAGTCTATTAAAAGGGGAATGAGAGTTAAGATCATGAGCTTGGAAACATGAGAACATGTTTGACTCTCATCACGTTCACGCAAGGCAATTACAGTATTCTGTTTAACTGTTAAGTTGCAATTCTGCACATTTAAGGTTAAAAAACCCAAAAAAGAGAGAAGTGGTGTGGTGGGAAACCGCTCAGAGTAGACCTTTGGTCTAAATGGGCAGGATAGAAATCCAATAAATAAATAAATAAATAAAACAGTTAACACATTTCCTCAAACTAGATTTGGTCGTTAAAACGAGTAAGAATTTCCAGGAAAGAATCTATCAACTAAAAAAACCTTAACTTTTAAGTATTTTGTTTGTGAAAGACATACTGCATTTTCCAACTATTAAGTAAGGAGGAAAAAGACTCACTTTATCATATAACATCCATCCAACGTATTTCAAGTAACTATCATTTAAGAATGTGTCTGGATACATTTTCATCCAGGTGCCCATTTCTTCAATACAGTTAGCTCGGATTTCTGGAATAACATCACTATAAAAAAGGGAAAGAAACAAGAGGTTATAGCCTACTCATAATCAATTCAAAACACATAGGTGTTTGATTTATTTATAGTATTTTAATACCATACGTACTGATATCACTTGATTAATCAATTTGCAAGGGCTGTTAGCTAATGTATAAAATGACTGTTCAAAATGTGAAGCTATTTAGAAATTCTGCTTGTGATTACCAGTAACATATGGAATACCACCTTTCTCCACTTGTCTTTCAAATTCATTGGACTAAAAGTAACACCACCCTCAGTACAACATTCTCTGGGATTATGGGAATGGTAGTCCAATATATGTAGAGGGCATCAGGTTTGGGGAGATGCTGCAAGGATTACTGGATGACGTAGCTTCCAAACAGTTTACCTGCATATTGGAACATATGCATACCCTGTTTCCCTGAAAATAAGACCTAACCTGAAAATAAGCCCTAGTATGATTTTTCAGGTTGCTCGTAATATAAGCCCCACCCCAAAAATATGCCCTAGTTAAGTGAAACCCTGCCCTCCACCACTGTGCAGCAACCAGAAGATGACATGACTGTATTTGAATAAACGTAGATCGTTGTACATGAAAAAAATAAAACATCCTCTGAAAATAAGCCCTACTGCTTTTTTGAGCAAAAATTAATATAAGACCCTGTCTTATTTTCAGGGAAACACGGTATGTGCCTCCTATCCCACCTGTATTCAAGATGTTCAAATCCTGATTATAGGATCCTTCCAAGAACCATAAAGATTCTTACCGATAGCGTTGCAGAAAGGTCCCTTTGAAAATAGCATTCATCATGTTTTCTATCTTGGGCAGTTTCTGGTCATACTGAAATTAGAAGAATCAAATCTTCTCTTTACATGAGCAAGGTTTTATTCCAATAGTAAAGCTTACTTCACTGAAAACTTACAAAATAGGTATCAATCTATATTTTAAATCATGGAAGAAGCAAACATTTAATAGGACAAGGAAAGAAATGAAGCTGAACCAGAAAACCTGGTTTGTCTCTCATAATATTTAAAATAGAGCACAGCAAGATGGGGGGAATTAGGAGTGATCCAGGTCACATTTAAGAGGTGCTTATCTTCAGTGTGATCTCTTTTATCTTGCACTTAAGTAATCCTTCCACTCATATGGGAGACATTTCTCCCCCCCCCCGGGCCAGGAGGATTCGGACATTACTTCAGATCATTCAAACATTTTCCCCCTTTCAATTACTAATGCGCATGCCCCCTTCCCTGCATTTTGCCATAGTTATCATTTGCAGGCCATGGGAACTTTTTTATTGTTGTTTAATTTAGTAAGTGGAACAGAACTACAGCAATATATCAGCCTAGCATGGATACTCCCTTATATCTGAAATAGCGCTGCATCACTTAGATTTTTTTTTAATTGTGAGAAAAGGAAAATAGAGGAGAGGGTTTCTCCACCATCCCCTCCACTGTCATAACCCACTGCAAACATCACAGGGTTGTCACTGAAGAGAATGCCATTCACAGCTCTATTTAAGAGAGAGTTAATCAACCACACAGATTGCGGAATGGAATAAGGAAGGCTCTAGTCACTCTAAATAAACTACAGTTCCATCACTATACCAGAAAGAAACAGAACAGCTCACAAAAGGGATGGAATGGGTCTCAGAAAGAAACAGAACAGCTCATAAAAGGGATGGAATGAGTCTCTCTTAAAACACATGTGGTTGCCAGAAAATAGGGTGAACCAATGTATACCAAAAGGGAACCAAATAGCGAGCTATGTACTCATTTTCTGTTGTAAATAAACAACAGCACTCAAATCACCTTCACTGCCTAGGTAAAGGGGGTGTGTAGCCCTCCAGATAGTGCTAGGCATCAATTCACATTAGCCCCCAGCAAGCATGGCCAAGAATCAAGTTATGGGACTTGCGATCCAAAATCATCTAGACGGGTCCTAGGTTTCTCAGGCTGGCCACTGCCAATGGTACCTTTGTCTGTTACAGAATCAATTTTGTGGCATTTATATCTAGAAAAACTGTACATGGCACATGCGTGTGACAACTGGCTCCACCCAAACCATCTTTCTGGACCACAGTCATCATCTTGACTCATAACTGTGATAATTACAAATGATTAACACAAAAAAATAATTCTTTAATGGCATAATGTTGCAACTTTCTAGATATGTCCAAAATCTTCACTTTTTACTGCTATAATATGATGTAGCAAGAAAACAATCAACCAGTTGTTCAAAATTAATTCATACTCCTTGAAGTGAGAACATAAAATTATTTGCTGATGAGCCATTGGTGACACCTTTCCATCCCATTATAAAGGAGCCTACTTAAGTATTACTTGTTATAATGATCAACAACAGAACATTTAGTTTTATTTGGGCACAGAATTTCCTACATCAAAAATAAGCACAAGGCTTGACTAGGAGTTCTCTTCACATCAAAAAAAGAAGCAGAGTTTTAACTCCATCTTCATTGCATTTTATTTACTTGATTCCATCAAAAGGGAACATACACAAATACCAAAGTCAGATCCCACATTTCACTTCTGGTTTAGAGCACAAAATCTGATCACATAACCCAAAGCAGTTCCCAGAACAAAAAAACAAAAAAACAAAAAAGACAATTGGAAATTTTTATGAGCCAGCCAATCTTTGTGTTTATCACTAGACATGGGGGTACTCATACATGAATACACCTGCACAGGTAGCGATAACGAGGGTGCAGCCCCCTGGGGCCGGACTGTCCACTCACCCTTCCACTGCTGCCGTGGGCTCCACACTCCCTTCCTATCGCTCCGGAGTTCGTGGTCGGCTAGCCACTCCTGGCAGGAGGTGGGACAATGAGCCTCCCTGCCAGGTTGAAGAGCAGCTCACAGACCGGGCACTCTGGAGTGATTGGAAGGGAGCACAGAGCCTAACACAATGTCAAAAAGCATTTTTGGTGTCTGGTGGTGCAGAATATACCACACTCACAGCAGGGCAATATCCATAAGCCAACTAAAAAACAGGGGTGCCCCGAACAAAAATTAACTATGAAACACCATTCACATTTCTTGAAAAATAGCCCAGACAATTACTTTATGTTTGGGTGAGAAGTAGTTATCTGATGAAAAAAGGAGTCAATTTCAGGGATTTTCCTTTGCTTAGTGTTACTCTGTGAATGGCAATGAGCAGAACAAGGTATCCAGTAGACCAGTGGTCCCCAACCTTGGGCCTCCAGATGTTCTTGGGCTTCAACTCCCAGAAATCCTGGCCAGCAGAGGTGGTGGTGAATGCTTCAGGGAGTTGTAATCCAAGAGCATTTGGACGCCCAAGGTTGAGGACCACTGCAGTTGACCATCTTGACTGCTGCCATTGGTGCTGTCAACATTCAGGCTGCCCTTTGCTATGTGAAGCTTGGCATCCTTTATTTATTTGTTTGTTTGTTTGTTTGTTTGTTTGTTTGTTTGTTTGTTTGTTTGTTAATTTGTACCCCACCCATTTAGTCAACTGACTACTCTGGGCGGCTAACAACATATAAAATAAACCAATCAAAATATAGAACAAACAATACAATAATAGACAAGGACACAAGATGAGAAAACAAAATAAATCAAGATGTGGCTGGAGGGAAGGCTTGCCTAAATAGCCAGGTTTTCAGTTGGCCTTTGAAAATGCCCAACGAAGGGGCCATATGAATCTCAGAAGGGAGGCTATTCCAAAGGCAAGGAGCCACTGGCGAGAAGGCCCGGCTTCTTGTTTTTTTCCTTCCGGGCCTCCCTCGGCGTCAGGCCCCTCAGCCGTCCCTGCTGGCTGTGTCGGGTGATTCGGGTAGCTCTGGGTGGGAGAAGATGATCTGTTTTTCCTGCTGGCAACACAGGAATAATATTGTCCAGCAATATTTGGCCATTTCCTGGCTTTTTGAATCATGGGTATAGAAGCACAATATCCCACATTCATAAACCAGTGATTTTTTAAAAAAGAACTAACCCATTTCCCAATTCCTTGGAGGAATTAAGTCAGGCCCAGAAGACTCAAGTTCAAATCCACACACAACCACAAAGGTCACTGGGTCAGCATGGGCCATACACTTAATATTTGCTTCATCAACATCACTGGGTGGTTGTGAGAAAGAACCATGTATGTTGCCTTGAGCTGCCTGGAGGAAAGGCAGGTTGCAAGAAGGTAAAAAGTGGGCAGGAGGTTCACTTTTCTGCATCATACTGTACATAGCAATTCGCAAGCTTGTGTGCTTGGTAAATTGAATGCCACCACCATCGACTTCTCTGAAATCCAGTAACTAACAGCAACAGAACAGATAATTTCATGAATGATTATTCATTTCTCTACCTCTCTCTTTTTCTTCTCTAGCTGGTCCAGTCTAGAATTGGTCCTCTTGCCTGCAGCCCTGCTCTTTTCCACTTCATATAATCTTTCCAGGTTCCGCTTACTTACATCTAGATTGAGTCTGAGGTTTACAAGCGCAGTCAGAAGCTTCATAGCTGGAAACAAGCAAACAAGAGAAACAAAACTCCAAAGTTCAAATCTAGAACTTCAGTTTTCACAGCTCAGTGTAAAAAAAATCCAAAAAAAAGTTAAACAGTATTTTTTTTTCTTCATTGTCTGATCATAACTACAATTGTGTGGGTTATATACTTCACATCTATCACAGAAATCTGATTTCTTGGAACAAAATTCTGTTGTTGTTTTGTAGCAGTGAATATTTAGCGAAAAACAATCAGCAACCTTCCTCGATTCAGGACATTTGTACAATTTTAGGTCATGTACTGTACAATTTCAGCATAGAACATTTCATCAATTTTTCCCCAAATGACTTTAAAAAGATAAATATTTTTCTGTAAAATTCCTGATACTACATAATGATGTGCGATACAGTGGTTCCCAACCTTGGGTAACCCAGGTGTTCTTGGACTGCAATTCCCAGAAATCTTCATCATCAGCTGTGCTGGTCAGGGGTTTCTGGGACCTTCAGTCCAAGAACACCTGGGTTAAACACACTTGGGAACCACCCGTATAAAAAATTACACTTAGTTAAAAAGTAGTATTATTGTCTCTGCTCTTACTCTATGATTCTACTTCACAGCATATTATTAAAGGGTTTCTTAAATGATAAGCCTATTACAACTGGTTAGTTACAATATTTACCGGTATGTATCTTTTTATATTTATCAATTGCTCCTAAGGATGCTTTATGTTCAACTACAAGGGCTTTTAAACTGACCTCAGTCTTCTTGAGTAAAGTTTCCAATGGAGTACCATGGTAAAGTTCATTTCTTCACTCTCCAAAACTTCTGATGTTTCCCTTGACTCTAACTCAATTTAATACAGTGAACAAAAAAAATCTAAAGGCGTTACCATCAATTTCTCATTATTTTATCCTCAAACAGGACAGTGGAATCTACAGATTCCTCCAACTCAAAAGGAGAAAAACCATCAGTAGTTAGGAAGGAAATGGAAAATACTTCCTAATTCAGCTCCCATCTGAGTATCTCCTTGAAAAACCTGCCCCTTTGTGAGGGATTTGATACTGCACCAACTGATGGCTGACAAAGAAATATCATCTTTGGACAAGACTAAGCCACCTCAGAGAGAACCTCTTAGTCTGAACAGTGGATAAAAACAGCAGAGTAGGCTGCTGTAGCTATAAGGTCCAAAAGGAACCAGCATACCATTGATGGAGATTCCAAGATACTACTTGAATGAGAGAGGGAGTCCTCAGAGTAAATGCTTTTTAAGCACTCCCAACAGGTCACACTCTACACATCTAAATTCCTTGCAATTAACCCTGCAGCGTCAGGACTAACAGACAGCAATGAGTCTGAGTGAAAACTCAGACTAGAACAAATCATGCACAAGACTTTATTCTGTGACACCTAATTCAGAGGAATCATGAATCCCAGTCCTTCTAGAAGGAATATGATGATACAGAAAGATAGCTGTAAAATCATTCACTTCCTCCTTAAATCACGGGAGGGGAACCTCTGGCCCTCCAGCTGCTTTGGACTTCATCTTTCAAGAGGTCCAGCCAGCCTAACCAATGATAACGGACTGTAGGAGTCCTTAGATGTCATTAGTGTAATACCTCTACTGAACTCTTTAGATTCCTCAGTTCTTGCATGGGTGGACATTTCATCTAGTGATCAGTAACCATGCATGAAAACCTCCTCCCTGTCCTGATGGAGTCTTAGTGCCTTGCCAATAAATGGGGAATCAGACCCTCACAGCTTCAGTATAGGACTGACAGAAGTAGAACAAAGGAGAGGGAGGATGCTCCAAGTGTTTGAGTCACTGCGAAGTGACAAGAAGAGAATGGGAAGGGCCAGCAACTTCCATTAATTCTACCACTAGATCAGCACTACCAATACAGAAAGTCAAAGACAACATTTGTTTTTCTTTTTAAAAATCACCAATATGTATTTTAAAGTACCTATTCAACTAAAAATTACAAATTGTTTCAACAGAAAAGTCACCTTCCTTAACTAAGGAACGCCCACATGTTCTGTACGAAAGGTCCTTCACCATTAATTACTGCATAAATTAAGAAAATTTCACAGGGAAAACTGTAAGAACAATTGTGGCACTGTGACAAGAGGAAGTGCACTTGCTAAAATCCAGGTTGACATGCAGCTCCTGAAGGGCCATTTTCACCATCAACTTACCAACACTCCCTGTCTTTTAACTAGTCTGGCCAATACAAACTAATAAACTTCCTGCTCTCAGGCAATTAAAACCAGACCCGCCGTTCCCACCTGCTAATGTACTGGTGTGCCGGAATGCTCTGACCATAGAATCTGCCAAGCCTGTCAGGAGAGAGATGACGGTGTCCATCAGATAGCTGTCATAAAGGATGCTGTACTGGCACTGCTGGACTAGCACCGTGGCAAACTCGCAGAAATTAGTTTTAAACTTCTTCCAGCAGGGCCCTGGCTTGATAAGTGGATAATCTTCATTGTCCTGCACAAGGAAGAGGAAAACAGCAGTAGACTGACAAAGCTTGACAAATAGATGTAAATGTAATAAAAAAACCTGACACTCTTTTGATAGCGGGAAGAGGCCTTACCTCATGACAGAGAATTATTCAAAGAACGAAGGTAAAGCAGGACTGGGGAACCTATGGCACTCTAGATATTAATTGATTACTACTTCCATCCCTCCTCACCATTAATTAGCCAGGTTGGCTGAGACCGATACAAACAGGATTACAATGATATCCAGAGAGCCAAAGGTTTTGCAGCCCCACTAGTGGAGGCAGCTGTATGATGGCTCATGACACACAACTCATTAGGCATTGACTTACAGACTCTCAGCTTGGCTCTTCTTACTCATTAAAAAAAACTACAGGTTCAGGGGGAGTTCAGAGTCCAACAGACTATGTTACATATACAGTTTGCTATTATCCATGTTTTTTGGCATTGGCAAGGTGGATTGGAACTGATCCCCTATGGATACAGGGGTCCTTCTGTGTTTGTTTCAAGGCGGGGAATGGGGAAAACACAACACACATTCTCTGCTTTCTGCCATTTTGATGTTTTTGGACTTCAACTCCCAGAGTACCTGGTCAGCAGCCATATTGAGGTGTGTTCTGTGAGCTGACATCCACTACAGCTTAAGGGCAACTTCTTAAGTCATAATGTGTCCCTTGAGACTGACATCCAAAACTTCTGGGAAGCCAAAGTCTAGGGACAGGATTTTTCAATTTTTTTACCAGAAGTAACATAACAGTCCATTCTACTTTGCAAGCACCAGAGAAATACCAGTGCGATGCACCTGAGAGAAAGGCCTAAATCGGAAGGCTCTGAGGTTCAATTAGGCCAGCCTCCACCCAAGTGTCCTGTTACTGCCCAGGTGACAGATCCAGTGCATCCCTTCTGAGTAGGACACTTAGCTGGAGCTTGGCCTAGTTCAGCCTCAAAGCCTTCTAATTTAGGTCTTTCTCCCAGATTATAAAGCTTTTTCAACAAAACACAAAATATTACTATGTATCTGTTTGTTTATTTATTTGTTGGTTGGTTGGTTTAATGTATATACCACCACTCTGGGTGGTTCACAACAGAAAATAAAACAATAGTCAACAATAATACTTTAAAATAAAATAACATCAAAGAAATATAAAATAATAAACATACACTACACACTATAAATTAGAAACATTATAAACTTAGAAGTACAGCACACAGGAAAAAAGACAGCAAGTAGAGATGGGGGTATTTGTATACAAATACGAATACCCTTGCACAGCTGGATGTGTCCAGCTGCAGTGGCAGCCTCACTCATCCGTCCAATCACTCCTGGAGCTCCGCTCTCTTCCTGCTCGGCTAGCGACTCAACAGCCATGCGGGGAGACTCACCCTCCCTCCCACAGCCTGGATTGGTCAGGCGAGCAGGAAGAGAGCAGAGCTCCAGGAGCGATTAGAAGGATGAGTGTGAGTGGATGGGCCGGCCCCTCGTTACGTCCAGCTGTGCTGTGATATTCGTATATAAATACAAATACCCCATCTCTAGTGGCCAGTGATGGGGCCAGACAGATATCAGGTGGGAGTTGATGCCACAAGTGTGGCGCAACCACCAAGAAGGAACAAATGAGCAGGGCGGGCAGAATTCCTTGGAAGGAGGTGTTCTACCAGGTATCAAGGTCCTATGAATCCTACAAAACTTTTGGCACTCTTTGAACAACCAGAGCACACCTGTCGGGCATTTAGTATGTTATATACCTGGCTAAAACAGTGAGGAATACCCTGTAACCACTTCTGTGACAGGTAGAGATGCTAAAATGTGTAGCAGCAACCTCATAGAAGAAGAGAAAACTATTCAAATGGATACAGCCTGGAAACTCTTGGCATAACATTGTGAATCTAACAAAACTGGAATATAAATGAAACAAATAAATTACCATATCCACCGGCCAAGTCACAGTCAAAATCCAGGGATAAGCCATGAACTTTTTATACTGCAATCCTGTTTCCTATAATAATAATAATAATAATAATAATAATAATAATAATAATAATAATAATAATAATAATAATAATAATAATAATAATAATAGAGGCAAAACAGAATGTAAGTAACAGCATCTTCAGTCGCAGCCACACTGACTCCACTGAAAAATGGGCCGACGTGTCTGGAAATTTCTTTGTTGAGGAAAGTTGATATATAATAGTAATACATGGGAAGGTATCTAATTATATTCAGACAAACCTGACCATTTTTTGTGTACCAGATAGCACAACCAAATCATCTTCAAAGCTAATACTGTAACTCCTCCATATGTAGGGAAGCCTCCAATAATGAAGGCAGCTCATAGTTAAACTCTGTGCCAGCTCAAACTGGAATAAACAGCTGGTACCCTCAGATTAAGTTCACCTCCACACATAGTGAAGACTACCTCTTTAAATTTAGCATTTCCCCACTCATCCCTGGTTGCTGCTGGGAAACACAGGGAAATCTAAAAGATGAGAATGAAAGGACTGCACGCTTCATTCCATTACTTCACAGAGGATAAAGGAGTGAATCAGGTAGCAACTCAAGGTTTATATTAATATCTTTCTTAATCCAATGTAGATATATATCACCGACCTTAAAGACCACTAAGACAAACTTCTATATTACTTTGAATATGACAACACTTTTCTTATATTCATGCATATTCTTCTGAAAGAAGAATGATATCTGCACCTTAAGGAATTTGCAATAATTTAAAACTTTCCAAGAATTTGTTATTTGTAATTTGAGTTAGGACCAACTTATAGGGACCGTAACAGGGCTTTCAAAGGAAAAGAGTTATTTAAGGAGTGGTGTTACCAGTTCCAGCTGGCTGGATACCTCAGTGGCTTAGATCTCTGGCTGCAGAGCCAGAGGTTGGGATTTCAGTTCCCTACTGTGCCTCCTGCAAGTAGAGCCAGCCTGTGAGGCCTTGGGCAAGCTGCACAGTCCCACAGCACTCCCTCAGAAAAATGGAAAGGTCCGGATGAATAAAAATCAATGATGTTTTAAAATCAAAATGATTTAAAACACAATTTAAATCAAATCCACCTAGGAATGGTAAACCACTTCTGAGTATTCTCTACCTGGAGAACCCTGAAAACCATCACCACAAGTCAGAATTCACTTGAAAGCACGTGATGGTAATGATTTTACCAGTTCCACACTCCCAGTGAGTTTCTATGGCCGAGCAGGGGTTCAAACCCAGGCCTCCTGAGTCTTAGTCCATCACTTTATCCATTACATCACACTGGGTATCTTTCCAAGAATTACTGATATATTAAAAAGTTTCCAAGGCCTAAGAAGAGCCAACGGAATAGGAGAAGGGAGACCTACTTCATCAAATGTCTCTGTCATTTTCTGCATCACCTCACAGTTTTGCAAACTCTGGAACATCTCTGCGGTAACCATTCCTACGGAAGGCACAATGGGAAAGAAAATTAAACTGAACACAGAGTGCAGCCATGCACTTAAAATGACTTCAAAAATATATATAAATATATATAAATCAGAATATTAACACAAATATCTATTTGCCCATACATTTTCATTATTTTACTCTGACCTCATTCACCGTCTTTCATTACAAGCAATCAGCACAATTTTATGTTGTCATGGAAATTTATTTATTTATTTATTCATTCTATTTATATCCCGCAATATGACCACTCTTATTAGCAAGGAGAGGGTAAATTCATTCCTTGCAAGTCTATGAAGAGCAGTGCTTGATAACTGAAATTGGCTGGATGGGAGTAGGGGAAGCATCAGCCAATAGAGGAATTGGCCGTAGCTGTGAAAAGCCTCATCTACAACCTTGAAGGTGGAAAGAATATTATGAGAACCATCCCTTGATAGTGTCTTACGGTACTGAAATTAGTGCCTCCAGGCTTATCTGATTAGTTATCTTACCAAAGTTTTTGATTCGGTGGTTTGTCTTACGGTACTGAAATTAGTGCCTCCAGACTTATCTGATTAGTTACTCTTACCGAAGTTATCGATTAGGTGGCTCTGGAAAGAGCAAAGTCTGACTGCTGCAAAGGGTCAAAACATATAGAGAAGGGATAATGGGATATATGGGGGAGCAGAAAAATGAATCACTCAAGCTTAAGCCCAGCTAATTTCTACAACGTTGTGCTTGTTTAGTTTCATCTTTCAGGAAACTGCCATCTATGCCTGTCACTCCAATGAACTCTGTGTACGTATGGGAACCATGCTACATCTTACTTTGCAAGTATAACATCTAGGCAGAAGTTTTTCCCAGTCACTAGTACATTGAATTCCCCTTGGCAAATACCCACACCAGAACATGCAAGGATAGGGTGGCTAGGTGGTCAGGGATCCTCTCTGTGGTGGCCAGTACTGTGACATATGTTTTCTCTAACTAGGTTCAAGGGAATTAATCCAAAACCAATGTACAGTATATAGGATTGCTCTGACTCTAACTCTTCTCAATAGTTCCTCTTGGTATATACAAGAATAAGGTATTCAAAGATTTACAGAATGGATCCTCTCTGTGGTGGCCAGTACTGTGACATATGTTTTCTCTAACTAGGTTCAAGGGAATTAATCCAAAACCAATGTACAGTATATAGGATTGCTCTGACTCTAACTCTTCTCAGTAGTTCCTCTTGGTATATACAAGGATAAGGTATTCAAAGATTCACAGAATCATATCTCAGTAGTTCTATTTTTCTAATCCCCATCTTTACATGTGAGTGACTCTCCTAGACATTCTTTATCATCATTTGACTTTGTCTTAATTTCTTACATTCCAACATCAAAGAATAATTTGCTTTATAAAGATTTGCATTTACCGCTATTCCTTTCTATTTCGACTCTGAATTCTGTTTCCAGAGATTTATTTAGAGAATCCAGGCTTTATCTGGGCTTTATCTGCCTATATCAGGGATGAGTGATTTCATAAAGGCATTTTTTTCAAACGCAGGTCAAAGCCTACATTTCCAAAGGGAGGGGCTAAAGGGGAAGAGTGTGCCCAGAAGTTAACTTGCATGTGGAGGGCTGGTAACTGTCAAAACAGAAAGTGCTTTTGCAAACAGAATAACAAGTTTCACTTGGGGGAAAATTTAAACTGAAAAAATCCCTCTTATACCATCTAGTCATGGTTTGGTATTTTTAAGCAGGTGGAGCATTAGCAGTGCTTTGGACCCCTCAGAAATTTGGAAAAACTGACAAGGAAGCTCAATACAGTACATGGCACAAAGGGGTTTTCTGGGTTATAATATTATTTTCTCAGCAAAGTTGTGGCTTTGGAATATGGGGACCTGCGGGCCTCAGGAGGATGAAAAAATGGCCCACCAAGCCACACACGAGCTGCCATGTTGCCCACCACTGGCCTACATCAACCCCACACTGGCAGATAAATCCCAGTTCCTAAGTAATAGGAGTAACAAATGAATTATTTACACTCAGAGGAAAGTTTGCCTGTTGTCCCTCAAAAGGCACAGGAAGCAGATTTACCTTGACAACCTGAGCACTGAATGAAGAAGTTGATGAGGTCAAGAAGTGCCACGTCTCTATCTTTTTTATAAGCTTCAATCCAATCATCTACCACAGTCTGAAACATATTTCAAAGAAGGAAGAAATCAAAAACTAGAAACTTAAGTGTTTTCAACCAGGAACTTTAAAAAGAAACACTTAAATTCAAAATTTTATTCAGTTGGTTCTACAAATAAATGAAAGTTAGATGCATTCATAAAGCCAAGTACAGTGGTGCCCCGCATAGCGAAGATAATCCGTTCCGGAAAAATCGTTGCTGTCCAGATTCGTCACTATGCGAAAAGAAAAAGCCCTTATGGGCTTAAAACTCACCATTCTGTGAAAATCCTCCATATGGCCGCCATTTTTGCTGCCCGGTATGCGAGGAAACGGCGCAAAAACACTGCGGGTGGCCATTTTTTCCGGCGGCCATTTTGGAACCGCCGATCAGCTGTTTTTAAAACATCGCTATGCGAAAATCGGTAAGTGAAACAGCTTACCGATCATCGCAAAGCGATTCTTTACCATCAAAAACACTGTTATGCGATTGCAAAAACAATTGCAAAAAATCCGTCGCTATGCAGATTCGTCGTTAAGCGAGGCACCACTGTATATTATAAAAGGTATTAAAGCAAGTAATGAAAAATATGATATTAGACATAGTACAAGTAGCATATACAGAACCTGACATACAACCAAGGCTTACTCTACACAACATAAAATCATCTGAACCCCTACTTCCCAAACTTTTTAAAAAATAGCATCTTACTACTAATACAGGCATTCTCTCCCTCCACGCAAAAGGCTCATCAACTGACCAGGTAAATTAAAACATAAGAATCAAATTATTTTTAACTTCACTGTTAACACCGCTGATGTTACCACTGTAATATCATCGAAGCTACCAACATGAATTTGGCCCAACTCCGGGAGGCAGTGGAAGACAGGAGGGCCTGGCGTGCTCTGGTCCATGGGGTCACAAAGAGTCGGACACAACTTAACGACTAAACAACAACAACAACACCTACTATCTAACATAATAAAGGGTTTCCTGCCAACTCTCACCACGCAAGGACTTAATCGTTTCCACAAAATAATCCCATTCAATAGGCCATAAAGGCTCCTGGCAAGGAAATCTGGCAAGCTAATTTTAATATCTACATCTCTGATACCTCCAAGAAAGATACCTACCTGCATAGCTCTTTTGCCCATGCTGACCACCTCAAATAAAGTAACTGCTTCAACTACTTCACCATTTTGCAGCTGGTTTGACTGCCTAGTACCAGAAAAGTTTCTTCTCCTGTTTTCACATTGTTCTCGAATTTTTCTTTTCCCTCTCTAAAGCAATAAAGATGAAATACAATCCATGACACAGCAACGATGATCAGTGCACACATATCAAACTGCAGAAGAATAAGCTTGGAAGCCGAAACTGTAAAGAATCAATAAGCTGTCTATTCCAATTTCCTAAGGAATTTCCACATAAGATAAATAAAAACTCACCAGTGAATGTTAATAGGCAGCAGTAAACTGTGATAACTTACCCATGTACAAAAAGAGTTTGTACACAGGAGGAGGGAGATAATTATTTATGGGCATTCACGTCTTCAGTTGCAAGTATCTGTATGTGAATATTAACTTTTGCCAATTTTGGACATTCAGTAAATCAAACCATTCCAAATAGATCTCTGTTGTTGAGTCCAACACAGTGTGAAGTCCCCAATCCTATTTTTTTGCTCCCCTGTTGATGAAGTTACTCGTGCTCACTGTCTTTTAAAGGACTGATGGCCACATGGTCAGAGTTCTCTGGCATTTATGTACCATCTTTTTGCTGAATTGAGTCTCTCAGACCTCAGTAGTGCGTAGCATAAGCCCTTTGAACAAGTCTGACCTAAAAAGAACACTTTGCACTTGCTTAGTGACTGAACAAGTAAAGACACCTGGGCTTTGTGATTCCTTAGAACTCACTAAAGCTCAGTTAGGAAGGACTCTGAATGCAGTGGTACCTCGCAAGACAAATGCATCGCGCAGTGAAAAATCCGCAAGAAGAAAGCGTTTGGTGAGTTTAGGTGATTTGCAAGACGAATATATTTTCGTCTTGCGAAGTGCGGTTTCCCATAGGAATGTATTGAAAATTAATTAATGCATTCCTATGGGCCAAAAAGTCTGAAAAAGTCACTTACCATGTAGGGAGCTGTGGAAGCACCATCGTAGGACTGGCGGGGAAACCGTGCCTCGCAAGTCGAAAATTATGGGCCAAAAAAGTCTGAAAAAGTCACTTACCAGGTAGGGAGCTGGGGAAGCGCCGTCGGAGGACTGGCAGGGCCTCCCCCCTTGCCACGATCAGCGGCTTCGGCCAGCTTCGGAGGCTTCCCCTGCACCATTGGAGGACTGGTGGGGGGCCCCCACGTGGGTATCGCCAGTTTCAGAGGCCTCCCGGGGCTTGCACAGCATCATTTTTTCCTGCCCTTAATGCCTCGGGCAATGAGTCTTGCGAGATATTTTCATCTTGTGAGGTATGTTTTCCCATAGGAATGCATTGAATTTTAATTAATGTGTTCCTATGGGCCAAAAAACACTTTAAAAGTCACTTACCAGGTAGGGATCTGGGGAAGCACCATCGGAGGACTGGCAGGGATCCCCTGTAACCACGATCGCCGCTTTCAGAGGTCCTCTGCCAGTCCTCCAATGGTGCAGGGGAAGTCTTTGGAGGCCTCTGAAAGCGGCAATCATGGTTGCACTGGGACCCCGCCAGTCCTCCAATGGTGCTGGGCAAACCTCTGAAGGCTTCCTCACCACCATCAGAGGACTGGTAGGGGTCCCCCCTCCACGGTGATCACCACTTTCAGAGATCCCCCGCCAGTCCTCCAATGGTGCTAGGCAAGCCTCCGAATGGAGAGAGGCAGGGGGAAAGGGCAAGAAATTCAAAAATGGTGCTGGGCAAGCCCCGGGAGGCCTCTGAAAGCGGCAATAGCCACATGGGGGGGTGCCAGTCCTCCAATGGTGCAGGGGAAGCCTTCAAAGGCCTCCAAAGCGGCGATCACGGCAAGGGCCCCCCCGCCAGTCCTCTGATGGTGCTTCCCCAGTTCCCTACCTGTTAAGTGACTTTTTCAGACTTTTTTGGCCCATAGGAACGCATCAATTAAATTTCAATGCATTCCTATGGGAAACTGTGGCTCGAAAGACGAAAATTTCACAAGATGACATAACTCACAGAACGAATTCTTTTCGTCTTGCGAGGCACCACTGTAGTAGCTAGCTTGTGGCCCTTGCCACTTCCTGGATTTAGCCAGACCTTGCTGTTCAAGAGATCAGTCCTTAATAAGCATTTTTAAGATTAAATTTTTATTAGAAAAATAAAGATTCGTAGAAAATCAGTTTATATTGCAAAAACATAGCATTTAGTAACATATTCAAAGATGATTGCAGTTAAATAAAATAACTATTTCCCAACTAAAATAAAAAACTTCTGAAAGCTAAATTTAGGGTAGGCTAAAGAGGACAAGCCCCCCTCTTTCTTTCTACTGCAAGCTACATGCTCACCATCATCATCTAGACAAAATCCATCATCAATCTAAATCCATCATCAGTAAGAGAGTAATGGAATAAAAGAAGCATTTCACATAAGACATCCTCCATTTTCTACTTTCCCAAACTCATCCCTTCTTCTTCGCCTCTCTAGCTGTTAACCAATTAGATTTAAGAGGTTGTTCCACCTCTCTCCACTCCTTATTCCCATGAGGGTTGCAGGTGTTGTTTGTCTTCTCCAATTAGCTCAGAATGTTGTCTTCCACAGCCTTCAAGATACCTCGTTCCTGGCTGTAACTGTCTAAAGCAGTGGTTCTTAACCTTGGGTTACTCGTTCCACCTCTCTCCACCCCTTATTCCCATGTGTTGTTTGTCTTCTCCAGTTAGCTCAGAATGTTGTCTTCCACAGCCTTCAAGATACCTCGCTCCTGGCTGTAACTGTCTGCAGGAAAACATTCTCATGGTACTTGAGAAAAGCGCATTCCAAAGTCCTTCAAATCATCTTTACACAGAACCATTTTGATTCTGTTTTATATTTCTCTTGACTACAAATCCCATTCTCATGACACGTTTCTGACCACATACCCCATGATCATGACAGCTCCAACACATATGGGAAACTTACAAGATTTTTAATGTTGCCACTTCTTACGCAGCTGCCATTCTGTGCAGTGGATTCAGGGGCAACCTCATCGCGGATCCCATTTTCTCTGAGTTATTTTGAACAAAAGAAGAAAGAAAACTCACAGAGAGAAAGACAGCAATTTAAAGATGCTTCTGGTTTTTATTTTGAAGTGTTCACTTAAAAATACAGAGACCTCTTAGAGGAATAATTTGCTGGTTAAACTCAAACCCCAAATGAGGTGCTGAATATTGAAAGTAATTTTTTTTCCTAAAGTAATGCACATCTTACAGATTTAAAAAAATAAACCATCTATATTAGTTGCCATATCAGAGCAAAGCTGAACTACAGACAACATAGGACCAAACCAGATATCATGTCAAAACAAGTCTCAACCAATTTTTATTTTTTATGCAAAGCAACTTCAGGAGATTACTAAATATGTTCATTTACTAACTACACATCCTCTAAAGTCCCATCAGCTACTTTTTTCCCTTTGAGAGAAACATTTTTTTCCTCCTGAAGAGAAGTATTCCTCAACTCCCATTTTCATTTAAAATAAACCACGTACAAGAAAATTGTCCATGTATTTCCCAAGCACCATTTGGTTTGACCAATGTTTTGGATCAGTACTGTGTCAAAAAATCTCCCCCACTGGAATTTGGCCATTCTCATTCAGTTTGATAGGAGAAAAAATGTTTTGAAAAGAATTTCAAAGGAGGAGAAATCTAGGATTAATTTAGGTGATTCTCGGGATTATTCTGAGCTTCAGGATTCAGGTGCTTCCCTTATTTAGGAGGCCATTTTGCAGCATTTTTAATGGCCTTCTTCAGTAGCTCACAACCACCACCATGTTCTAGTGGTTCCCAACTTCCCAGAAACTCCAGCCAGCACAGATAGTGTTGAAGGCTTAGGAGAGTTGCAATCCAAGAACACCTGGGTTACTCAAGTTTGGGAACCACAGCTAGAATGACACAAAATAAAGGACAATGTGAGGGAGCCAAAACTGTGGCGCGTCTGCCAGGACAGTTGTGGTTGCTACCACTTGCAATGGTAGTTCAAAAAGCAAAAATCCTTTGGGGAAGAAAAGAAGGAAGCACTGTATCAACCAGTGCTCATGGTTTGCCCAGCCAGTAATGAACTGTTGGGGAAACTCTCTTTACAGTAGAAAAATGTTGGGAGAAAGTCTTCCCAATTATCCTTCCCATAAATATGGCGAGGAATTTCAAAAGGGCAGTTGTACGCAGCTAGTCTTTTCAATGAAATAACTTTGAAATCCACCATATATTGACCTGCCCTAACATTTTTAGATTAGAAAAACATTTTTAATATAAAGACATTTAAATTAAAGAAGTTAACCTGTTAAACAAAATGTATTTATTTACTTACTTAAAATATTTATATGCCACCTTTGTTCTAAAGGGTCCAAGATGGTTTACAGTATTAAAAGAAACAAAGTTTAAATTAAATAAGAAACTATTGTTACAGTATTAAAAGAAACAAAGTTTAAACTAAATAAGAAACTTTTATGATATTAACAAGCATAATTGTTGTTGATATGTGTGCATTAATCTCCTGTTTTTAAAAAGCCCCATGTTTTCAAGGTAGCTTGAACTTAAACATAGCCTTGCTTACTAGTACAGGCTTGTCTTCTTTAATTAGAAGACAGTAGCAGCAAAACCAAAGACTGCATACTGTATCTTACTCAAATTACCCAGGTTGTAAACTGACAATGCAAATGCCATTTAGCCTAGTTTATTTCTTCCCACAGATACCAGTTAGTGACTGTCTGTCTCAAAGCAAGGTACATGTTTCAGTTGCAATCATTAAATCTGCTGAAGTTATATTTTGCAATTCAAGTGAATGTTCCGTTTGGGAAGAGCATCACCTGTGAAGCTAACCGGACAAAAGATTAGCTATTCTCACTCTCACTCTCTCTTGATTAATTAAGTAGTCCTTCCCTTCTTCCACCTGTTTTACTTTCCTTTATAAAAACCGAATCCTCGTTATTAGCCTCACCCGCTCCCACACTGGATCCAGCTTTACCCAGCCTACCTATTTGACTGACTGGCCAACACTGACCTGCCTCCTACTCTTGTTATTTTGGCCTAGCCATTTTATCTTGTTTTTATTGTTGGATGTCCCTGGTAGCATTCCACATATTTTGTATTTTATGCTTTTTCCCCCCTCTTCTACTGAGTCCCTCCTTTTGGGAGCTTTTTCTCCAACATATTGGTATGTACTGTTCCTTTTGTGTTTAACTGGAAGTAAAGTTGATGATTATTACTATTTTACAAATGGACTATGAGTTGTTATTTCTAAGCCAGGCATATGCAGATGAGTAGGTGTGTATATATTTGGAAACTTGCTGTTTATTGAATGCCTTTTCCCTTTTTTGCTCCGGGCTAGTTTTTGGTGCTTACTGCTGTGGAACTAAAGGAGTTAATTAATATAAATAAATTTTCTTCAGTGTGGAAGGGATTGTCACTCTTGAATTGGCCTCCTCAGCCACACTAGACGGTGTTCCAAGTCCTCCATACAGAGCACATTACCATAGTCTTTCAAGACTGAAGGATGCCTAACTCCATAATCCTAAGATCCTAACGAGTGACACACACAAAAAGAGCACAGGAAACAGCTCATAATTTGTTACCAATAAAAGTACTACTCCTCTTATGTCTTACCTGTGGTTGGGGAGACTGGCAACGGAATTAGGCTCTGCTATCATTTCCACTACATCCTCTCAGCAGCATGGAAAGCAAGCTCCCCTGATCAGCACTGAATAAAAGCCGCACAATTTGAATTCTTCAGCTGTCAACACAGATGCAATAGCAGAAACTGCATAAAATGGGGAAAAATTACAAAATTATAGGCATTTTAAAATACAATGTTTTATTTATTTATTTATTTATTTATTCATTCATTCATTCATTCATTCATTCATTCATTCATTCAT